CCCATTGAAAAGTGAAGAGTAAAAGACAGAACAACAGATAATGCCCACAGTGGACAGATAAGATGCACAGTGGGCAGAATGCCAAAGCGAATAGCACATTCCATGGGATGGCGGCAGGAATGAGATAAGAACAACCCAGTTCCAGTTTCCATTTCGTGTACCAGAAACTTATAGACTCCCGGCATCGAGCGAGTTGTCGATTTTGCTTATCGGCCAAAACGTTAAGTGTCGTCTGCTATGGGTTCCTCGCTCCTCTCTCTCTCTCTCCCTTACTTATTTCACGGATTCCCCCCGTGAAATGTGGGACACTGATAGTACAATAGCTTTGCATGTTACCGCACTGATAACACGATGAATGGGCAGCCGGCGTGGGAATCCACCTTCCAGTGATTCACTACTTGTTAGCGCCTCAATTTGAATGCTATATCGCGATATGATTGCGCCAATGAGCATGGAGGAACGTGCGTTTCTCCCACTTTTGCCAATTTGGTTTTTGGACTTAGAGAATGTCGGTGGTGGCCTCTACTACTACTGCCACTTTTTCCACATCTTGCCGCAGATACTCTCGGCGTTGTTGTGTGTCGCAACTATCTGGGGTCGCCATCATCCGTTGTTGTCTTCGTCGTCAACTCTGGGGTCTGATTATCATTCCGAGTTTGTGTTGCCTTTGGCAGCCATCTCGATAGCAGTTTTGCGGGTAGGGTATGGTAAGATCCATTGGTTTTGATAGTTAACTTGGTTCGATTGTGTAGAGAGGTACTAAACTTGGCTTGGTAATAGCTTATATATATTTAATTTCGGGCCATAAACATGGCTTATATTAAACACTACCTAATAAATCTTATTAAAAACTATTTAAAGCTAACCGCTTTTATTGGTTAATTAAATTTTAAATCTTGTTAGCTGTTTTCTTATTTAATTAACCAATTAATTGCTTTTGGCTTTTACTTGCTTTATTGTTTAGCCAGTTTATTATTTTCGAGGCTTTACTGTTTTGCCCAAATTACCCTTTCTTTTTCTTTCTTTTCTGGTTTTATGGTACATTTCAGTTTTTTTTTTTGTGGTTTTTTTATTTTCTTTTGCTTTTAGCTTTTTGCTCTTTGGGGCAGCAGCAGCAAAAAATCTTTGCATTCTTTGAAGCTTTAGCTTTGGTTCTATAAAGTCTTTGGAAGCCGGTCCCCGGTTCTTATTGCTTTTCTCTCTTTGAGTGTGTCTTGAGCTGGTGTTTTTCTGCTGTTTTCTGCTCTTATAGCTTTCTTTGTCGCACAGATTTATGCAACTTTTGTTGCTGCTAGTTTTTATTTAAAAATATTTACTTTTACGACTTTTTCTGCCGCCCTCCAAGCTAAATAAGCCCCATCCATGTGCAAAACTCATATGCAGTTCCATTCAATGTCAACTGCAGCAGCAACAGCAGCAGCAGCAGCAGCAGCAAGAACAATGTGCGTGCTGTTCTTGCAAAGCTTCTGACGATGATGATTCATAAAATATGCGACTGCGACTGCAGTTGGACGACTATAACAGGAAAATCAAGTGGAATGTGGCACTGCAGCTGCAGCAGCTGCTGTCCCTCTTTCACCCCCTATTCGGATTATATATATGTATCAAATATATATATATATAGTTGCGGGTGAGGCGACGACGTCGCGACGCTGCCGAAATCGCAAACGAAGCGCTGCCAGCAACGTCGCGACGTCAGCTGACACAATGGGTAGCCATTGTGCCGGGTACAGTGGGTATTCGTTATTAGAAACGAATGAAATATTTGATATTGAATACCTATGCAAAAACAAATAATCAATATATACAATTTATAAGATTTAAAAACAAAATTGTCATAAAAATCAGCGTCAAAGAAAGCGCTTATATACTCTTTAGAAATTTTATTCAGATTTAGACTCCAAGCCAAGTCTGTATACCCTTTCCAGGGTATTATAATTTTAATCAGAAGCTTATAATGATGTAAAGGAGTTATTTATATTCATGATCAGCATCAAAAGCCGAATCGATCTGGCCACCTCATGCAGAACAAAATTTCTTACAAATTTTTTCAATTTTTTTAAATCGCTAAATCATCGTTTAAATCGTTAAAAATCTTAATTTTTTTTTTTAATTTTAAATCGAGTAAGAAGATTTATTACCCTAACTAACATGGGAAAGCTTTCCGATTTAAAATTCATGCTTTTTTGGCTGAGTTATGAGGGTTTTAATCTTTAGTTTTTAGAAAAAATTGTCATATAAAAATATGAACAAATATCGATTCAAAGCATGTAAATATTTTAAGCTTAGTTATGACAAATTTCAGATACGATACTATAATTCAATTAAAAACTAGAAGAGCATATAAACTGCAGCTTTCTTTTTAGTTTTAAGCAACATCTTTGAATATTTTTCTTTCCTTCACTTTAGTTTTCTTATAATTAAATTGGAGAGCTCACTGTCCAATAGAAGATGAAATAAATGGAAAATAGGCGGAGAGCACGGTCGCCAAAGGCAACATTGCAGTATAAATATCTAAAATCTTGACGTTTTCAATTTGTATAAATGGAAACTAAAGCTTAAAACTTGTCTGGAAAGTATAATAACGACAAAACGTGAACTAATAAAACGAAATATTCCATTTTCTTTGTTGTCAACTGAACAACTTAAATTTTTCATTGGGTGCCACTTGATTTGGGTGAATCATTTGAAATTCTGTGAAACATCTTCTCCATCTTTAGTGCTCGTAAATCCACAAAGTGATGAAAAACAAAAATAAAGGAAAAACCAAAATGCATAGTTTAAATAGTTTGTCGTACATATAATCCATAAAATTAAGCCAAATGCTAATAAAAACCAATAACAGAAGCTATAAATTTATGCTGCAATCCGAAAAGATTACAGGTAGTGAGTTCTTATCTTGGAAATGGGATTTGTAAAATTGAATTTGCTTTCTAATAATAATTTTATGACTCTTGGCTTTAGCTTAGTGATTTAGAAATTAGTTTTTACTACTTTCGTGAAATAATAAACCATATTTTCCTCATTTAAATCTAATAAGTAGGAAAGATTTCTGCTCCTAATCTTATTTGCTAACTTTACTTTGGTTTTCTTGACCAAAAAACTATCTCCTTTAAGTATTAAACATTAATTCTCACCTGGGAATGCTAATCAGGTAGCTGAGCAATCGTCGCAGATCCTCCGGCTTCAGTCGATCCCTTCGTGGTGTGGCGGGAAAGCATAGGAGCGGACCTCCACGGCGATCCCTGCCGCCAGTAAGGAAGACGACGCGCTCCTGGAGCAGCGTCAGCAGATCCCTGGCCCGCTGGCCGTCCATGGCTGTGGCGGCAGCAGAGGGTTAATCGGAGCGGCGATGCGATGCGGTGCGCCGCGGGTTAATTACTATTCGTGGGAAATAGGAGGAGCAGCGGCGGGCAGCTCTGGCAGAGGGGGAATGGTCTCCGATTTTAAACCAAGGCTGGTCACTGCAGCATAACGAATTCCAGCCTCGAATTTCACTTGGTATTATTTTTTTTAATATTATTATTATGTTTCGCTGCTTTTTGTTGTTGTATTTGTTGTTATTGTTTGGCCTTTATTCATTGATTTTCGCAAATTTCTCGCTGGCATTTTCATGGTCACTCTCTTTTGATGTTTGTTTTGTGGAAATTGTGGGGAAAAAACAAGGTGGAAAAGCGCAGATACAAATTAGCAAATGGTATTTATCTTCTTCTCTTCTCTTCTCCCTACTTTTCTCTCTCCTTTTTACACATTATTTGCATATATTTATTTCTGGCCGACACGCAGTTTCTTTGTGGTTTTTATTTTTAAAAGTGGAGTTTTTTTCGGTTTTTCTCTCTCTCTCTCTCTCTTCCTCACCCTCCCTTTTTTCCCCCTTCGTGTTTATCGTGGGTGTGGGAGGGAGAGGGAGATACAAACAGACAAACACACACGCACACACACACACTCACACATTCGCCAGAAAGCGGAAGGTGGCAAGGAGGAAAAGAGAGGGGGACTGGAGTGGGAGGATGACAAGAAAAGGGGAGTGAGGGAGCTGCACATATACATAACACATATATATTCCTCTTAAATGTCATAAATCATGTGAAGCCGCCTCACGAAAATCATAAAAACATACAAAAAAATCACACATCTTTGCTCTTATTTTCAAGAACACAAACGCACACTCACACACGCACACGAACATAGCGGATTCTGTTGTTGTTTCTACATTTTAATTGCCAATTTGCAATGTTGAATTAATTTTAACACAAACTCCAGCACAAAACATACACACACACAAACACTTGTAAGGCTCGTATATACAGCCAGTATATACATAAATATATATATATCACATCATCCGCAAGCAGTTCTCTTTGCGTCTTGACTCTTCCTCTTGCCACTGCTTGTGCCACACAAATTGATTTTTTTCACTCGCGATGCTTTTGTTTTCTTCCCCACATTTGATTTCGCTGTGGAATTCTTTGTAATTACCGTTGCACGCGAGTTGCATAGACACTGAGCTAAGTTTTCCCGGTCATTTTGCTGACCAGCGGCGATTTTTTTAAAGCGAGGCGCTCTCTGTTTGTTTAAACAAATTAGATTTTTGCGAAGTGCTAGAGATGTCACGACACCGATGGTGATGGTACTGGCGATACAATCGATACGTTGGATGCATCGCAAGCAATCGATGATTTGAAAACTATTGTGATAATATCGCAAGCACAACACAAGGGTTCGTGTCTGAGATAGAATTGATTATGGTATTTTATTTGTGATATACAAATATATTTTTATTAATACCTATTTATGTTGGAAAATTAAATTTTAAAGATATAATACAAAATTCATAAGAAAAGTTTTAAAATATGTAAAACCTTGCATTTATAAATAGTAGTATACATCGTACAAATTGGTATATTATCGATAGAATCACTATCGATGTATGACAGTTCAGTAGTAGTGATCGTAAGAGTACACGTTTGTGGTATAAACTCATTATAGCTAGTTGGTCACACTCAGTCTTTGTTTGCTTGCTTTTTTGCCAATTGACTTCCAATTTTCTGCAAACATTTTACGAAAACTCAAGAACTCGTTCCGAAGACGCAGCAAGAAGCAACGCCAGCCGCCAGCAGCAATATCCCCAACCGCCACACTATCTGCCAGCTGCTCATCATCGTTTAACGACGCTGCCTCCGGCTCCGTCCCGCGGAGCACCCTTTTTTCGCGGGAAGAGCCCTTGGAAACGGAGGATTCCGCCAGGAAAATGGAGAGCAATCTAACGCGAATAATTCGGGAGTCGTCGAAGCTAAAACTCAGCGGCCAGCTCAGCAAATATACGAATGTGATGAAGGGTGAGTTGGCAAAATAAATTTCGAGCTTTTTAACTTATATTTGCTGTGCTTTGGGAAGACATTTTTATAACTGTAAATTGATTTATTTAGGCTGGCAATACCGCTGGTTTACGGTAGATGCAAAAACGGGATCGCTTAGCTATTATTTGTGCGATTCATCGACCGTTGGCGATGACATTGCACCCTCCCCGCATGTCTTGGCCAGTGCACCTCGCGGTCAGGTGCAACTGGCCGGTGCCGTGGTGTATCCCAGTGACGAGGACTCTAGAACGTTTGCCATTGCCTGTGCCTCCGGTGATACGGTCAAGCTGAGGGCCAACGATGCACGAGCGAGGCAGGAATGGGTGGATGGACTGCGGGCGGTGGTGGAGAGTCACATGAAGGCCATGGACATAAGCAACTCATCGCCGTTGCCACCGCGGGAACTGCTGGCCGCCTCAGATGCCATGGTTTCCGCCCGCCAGGCATTGTTTCTCACAGAGCAATGGTAAGTATTTGCAATTAAGTGCTTTTTATAGTTTTAAATGATTTTTTAATAGGATTTTAGGTAAATTTTGTTCTTTAGAAGTCAATAATTGATGTAGCTTTTGAAATAGTTCAGTTAATTGGTAAATACTTATGGTTTTATGTAGAAAATATCAGTAATTCAAGAAAATTAGAACAAAAAATGTTTATAAAACCGAAAATGGAACTTTTAACATCATAATTTGAACCTAAATTGTTAAGTAATTTAATTTATAAACCGAAAATCGATTAGATCAGTTAGAAATATTATAAATAATGGTCTGTCAATTCAAAATCTTTCGCAATTACCATTTATTCGCATTTTTCCTGCTTTTTTTAATGGAAAACTTTAATAAGTTAGTAAATAATTTATTTGGTTATAAAAAACCTTCCGTTAAATTTGATTATATAGTATTTTCTGTAGATATAAGCTATTAATTTGAATTCTTTCAATATCGAGGCAAGATGTATCCATTTAATGTTTTAAATATTTCAAGTATTAAGTAAATACTTACCTTTTTTATAGAAAAAATCATTAATTAAAGAAAATTACACAAAATGTCTTGATAAATCAGAAAATTTAACTTTAAACTCCATAATTTCAACCTTAATTGTTAGTAATTTAATTTGTAAACATAAATTTCGTTAAATTAGTTAGATATATTATAAAAATTGGTATGTCAGTTCGAAATCTGCCTCAATTACGATTTATAAGCATTTTCCTTGCAATCTTAGATAGCAAATTCTTTCAAGTTTTTAGAAACCTTCCTTTTAATTTGAATTCTATTGAATATTCTATAGTTATAAGCTCTTAATTTTTATTCCTTCATTATCAAAGCAATATATCCCCTTAATACTTACTTAAACTTGCATTTAGGTTTAAAATTGAAATCTCCCTTTAAACAAAACCCCTTATCCCCTCCCCCTTGTAGCAACGCCTCTCTGGCCAGGGCCATTGAGAGCATCGATTGTGCTTCCTTCTCGCCCACGGATCCCGACCTGCTGCTGCTCAAGGCGATCTCAATGGCCAGCACCCAAAGTTTGCACCAATGCCTGGGCCTGCTCCAGCGCCATCAGGAGATCAATCAGCCGCCGCCCTCGGAGGCTGCGCCCATTGTGCTCTGAGAGCATGTAAGAGATGTGAAGATGAAGAGAGAGTATCCAGTATCCATCTATGAAATAGAGCAATAAACACTACTGATGCCAAGCCCTGGTTGCGTGGTGTGGGGTTGGCGGTAAGCAAATTAAATTAAAAGTCTTTTTGGGTTTTGGGTTACTTTTTCAATGTTTTTATAAAATACTTTTCAGTTTTTCCATTTTTCAGTTTTCCGCATTTTTTTACCATTCCTTTTTTGTTTTCTTGGATTAATTAGAACATTCATTTCGACATTTAAAGTTAATTTGAACATAAAGTTTTGCACTAAAGTTGATAGAAAATGTTCGAGTTTGTGGACAGATCGTACAAAGATACACATATCCAGGAGAATTATTAATTGCTAGCTCCGCCATTGTTTTTTATGTTACATCCTACATCCGAAAAGTAATTCATTAAGTTTTCTTTTGTGGAACATCAAAGTCTATTTGAGGGGGGGTGGGGTGGGGATTACATAGATACTTATATATACCATGTGTGTGTATATATGGCTATTGTAGATGATGATGATGATGATGTAGTTTTGCATATGCAAAAATAGTTTCTGTGTGTGTGTTATATCGTAATTAACTCTTGCTTGTGTCACCGATTAATCATCAATTGTGTGCGCTTGCCATAAATGAAAACGTTTTGCCAAAAGTCCTTGCCTAAAGTTTGTTAACATAACATACTTATATGTCCCTTTCAACGAATCCTGCTGCCACGATCCTTTTAGACAGACGGGACAGAAGTGGAACAGGGTCCAAATTAAGGCTAGAAAAGGCACTTTAGAATGGGGGAAAGATCTAGTGTTCTCAGGGGGAGGAGTTAGGGTTAAGGGTGAGGGGTTTTCCAATAATCTCAAAATCAAGTGCCACAAGTCCTTGAAGAGATCGCGCAGCAGTTTTCGTTGTTTTTCAAAAATTTCGCTTCTAAATTTTGTCTAAAAATTTCGCTTGTATATAAATACGTTTTACAAAAAGTTCACTTGTTTCATGTTTCTTTTTACATAATTTTGTTTTGCGGTTTTTGTTTTCATCGCTGAATTTAATTCCGAAAGGCATTTTTTGTGAATTTTTCTTTTTTAATTTTTGTTTTTTCTTTAGTATTCTTTGTTTTTTGTTAAGCCTAAACATTAAATTTAGTTGATTCCATTTTGCCATCATCATTCTTGTTAATAATTTTGTACATTTTCCCTCTTTGCTAGTGATAAATAATAATAATTAATAATTAATAATAATAATAGACTAAACAAGGGTCGGGCACACAATTACCAAGTTAAATCCGCTTAAACTCTTTTGATTTCGTTTACATTTAATTAATTAATTCATTAATTATGCTGCTGGTTTTTTGTTTTTTTACTTTTTGGGGGGTGTCTGGTTTTTCATTATCTGTTCTGTTCTGTGGAATGTTCCGGGTCTCCTCCTTCCGCTTCCGTTTCCGCTGCATTTGCTTACTAACTAAAGAGATCGATCGCTATTTATTTAGTTAGACTGCTGGACTATAACATAATAATACTTTCAATTTTGATTCAATAAGTACGCTAGGAATAGAAACTAGATGTGGCGAAGATCGCATGGAGGAAACTAGAGGAAAATCACGGATCTATATAATCCATATACCTTGGTTAATTCCTAATAAACTGATTAACAAATAAATAAAATATGTTTTACTTTAACATAAAATACTGATGGTAAAGTAATTGTTAAAGAAACATTTTAAAATGTGTTTCATCTTTTACATTCAGTTAATATTTACATGATTTTTAAAGTAAAAGAAGAGTACTTAAAGTGATATTTATGGTTTGATTATAAGTAACAAAATTCAATTAAATAAAATATACTCGGGTTTAATTTTGAACACTTAATATTGAGTTCGTTTGAAAACCCTTAAAAACATAACTAAAACTTGTTTCCTTTTGAAAATCTTTTTAATATATATTTCAAACCCTTGAGGAATTTCTTTGACATTCCCGATATAATATTGAAACCTATATTCGGCGGTGTCAAATAAATAAAAAGGGTTTAGAAATGAAACTTTACATTTACCACTTTCAGCTACATTTTTAAAGGACTTCCAAATCTCTAGTGATTTTTTCAGACTTTACAAAATAAAATATAAATATATATAAAATAAAAACTGTTTCAATTTCCACATTCTAACCAATTAACCAAGGTATTGAAGTACATTCACCGCATTTTAGCTGCTGGAGCAGCTTCTGATGGACTTCAGATTTCAGATGGCTTCGTCCTCCCCCGTTTACTCATTCATTATTTTATATTTCTTTTACTTATCCCCATTTTACTTTTCATTTTCATCTTCATCAATTCATCATCCCTGTGTTTTCACTCGCTAGTGGTGGTAATGGGCTCCACCTTGATGCCACCACTACTCGAGGAGCTGGGCGCATCTGCTCCCGCCGCTGCCGATGATCCTCCGCCCGATCTCTCCTGCTGGGCAGCCACATTACCAGCACCAGCTGCCGCCGAGGAGGAGGAGGATGACACGCTGGCACCGACCAATTCGGCCAGATCCTCGGCAAAGAGGCGACTGGGCGAGAAATCCCTTTTGTAAGCCATATCCAAGCCAAGATCGCCGAGAGGCGAGTGCAACCGTGGCGTTTCACTGCGCAACGGACTGCCCTTGACCTTGGCCGGATGCTGACCCACCAGAGAGGAGGAGGAAGCGGAGGAACTGGAACTGGCACCGAAACCGGACTTGTGTGGCACCACCTGATGGTGGTGCTGTTGCTGCTGCTGCTGCTGCTGTTGGTGGTGATGCAGATGCGCCGCCGCCTGCTGCTGCTGCTGTTGTTGCAGATGAAGCTGCTGCAGATGATGATGTGCCTGCTGTTGCTGATGCTGCTGCTGATGATGCGCCGCTGCAGCCTGTTGCTGCTGATGCTGCTGATGATGATGCAGTGCGACGGCCATGCTGGGCGGCAGATTCGGCAGGAGGCCGGCGGGACCGCAGGGCGAGGGCGCATGCCTGGGCCCGGAGCCACTGCTAAGAGCCGGCGATATACTAGCCCTGCCACCGCCCGCTCCGGGTACCGAAACCGAACCAACGCCAACGCCCACGCCTGGATGGGGCGGCAGATTGAATAAACCCGGCGGAACGGGCGGCGGCCCCGCCTCCCCGTGCTGATGCTGCACGGCCGCTGCCATCTGCATCTGCTGCCGGATATTGTGAGCCACGGCGGCCACCGCTGCGGCCGTTTCCTGCGACATGTGCTGTTCCCCGCCGACGCCCGACTGGGGACCACTGCCATTAGGACAGGCCAGCGAACTCGGTGTCCCGGCAAGGGCGCCACTAGCGCCCGGATAGCTCAATGGGAGATCCTGCAAAGGAAACGCGGGCTAACCCGAGGACAGTTAGTTCGATTCGAGGAACAAAAGTCTACGAATATAAACAGCACAACTAGTCGTACTGATTACCTACCGAGTGGCGACCGTAGGGCGGCATATGAGCCCCCAAACTATCGTCTTTTATGTCCTTGGCATCGCGAAAAACCACCGTCTTGATAACACCCTTGATGTGCTCATCCGGCCAAATGCCCAGCAAGATTCTCTGCGGTCTACCACGACCCTTGGGCCGTAGATCAGGACCACCATCGATGGAAGGACCCAGCATATTATGCACTCGATTGGCATATAGCACAAAGGTGGGATACGGGATGTCATATTTGCGAGCAGCTTGCGACAGAGACAAGCCCTCCTTCAGGACACTGAAGATGGCCTCGGCCATGGTCTCGGGACGCCAGGATTTCAATGGACCCCGTTCGCGGAAGCGCATGTGATGCATCAGGTTCTGATTGGTGTTCCAACATTTTTGCCACATGGACTGCAACTGATACTGATAGCTGTCTGCTGAAATATCAAGTGTAAAAGAAAGTGTAAACCAACGATCAAATCGGCTTGCAAGTGCCTTTAAAAATTGTCGCAGTACAAACCTGCCAGTGTTGACCCGGTGGCTCCCATCCAGGCATGCGAATTCTCCAACATTTTGGCCTGTGAATGGAAACGAGTGCAAAAAAAGATTCAAGAATCAGTAAAGTGAGCAGAGTGAACTGAGAGCGAGGAGGAGCAGACTCTGATGGGTAAGTGGTGCTTCAATTAATTGTATGTCTCGCTTTGGTTAGCGCTCGATGCGCCGACTCCTCTTGTCTCGGTTATAGTTCTTATTTTTTATGTCCCCCCATATTTGATTGACATGCAAAATCGACCTATTTTCATTTAACTCATTTTTTTGCAGTTATAAATCAATGGGTAATGTGGGTTTATTGTTGCTAAGAGAGGGTTTGTTTCATAATATTGTAAAGGTTTTTGATTTTATGGTTAATAGAATAGGTATTTATCACACAATCTGTGATCTAAAGATACGAAATTCGTTCTGAAATCATTGAAATATCTGTATTTAAGTTTGCAGAAAAAAATTTGAGAGGTGTAAGATATTGCAACGTAATTTGTAGAAGGTTTTATTTATTGCGATATAGCTTTATTTATTTATATTTACAATTATAAATACCACTAGAGGAAATACTTTTAATTATGTTTCTTACATTCCAAAAATTTTATTTTCTTATTTAAATTGTACATGAATATAATTTCGTATTGATACAATTATATTTTGATATTATCCATTTTTTCTTGTAGGGAATTTCGCTGACTCTTGATATTTATCATAGTTTTTCATTTATTTCGCTCACCCTAGATATTTTTAAAATTTTTTCTGAGGCAACTCGCGGCTGCTTCATATTTTCCATATATTCTCTTAAGTATTTTGCTAACCGTAGATATTCTCCATAAATATTCTAAGGTATCTCGCTTACCCTAAATATATTCCATAATTTTTCGAAGGTATCTCGTTGGGCCTAGATATATTCCATAATTTTTTTTTGTTTTTTCCATGACTGTGGATATTTTCTATAATTTTTTTAGAACATTTCACTCACCGTTGATATTTTTAATAATTTTTTCTGAGGCCTTCCGCTGATTCTAGATATTTTCCATATATTCTTTTAGGGATTTCACTGACTCTCGATATTTCTATAATTTTTCTAAGGTATTTAAGTGACCCTAGATCTTTTCTATAATTTTTTCAAGGTATCTCTCTGCCCCCAAATATTCCCCATAATATTTTGTGAGATATATCGGTGACCCTAGATATTCTCCATAATTTTTCTAAGATATCTCGCTGATCCTACATCTTTTCTATTATTTTTTTTAAGGTATCCCTCTGACCCTAAATATTTTCCCATTACTTTTTCTAAGGTATCTCACTGACCCCAGAGTTGAATCCTTGCTAAAAATCTATAGCTCATCTTATGAAATCCCTGTTCTAATTCGAATTGCAACGGCAACAACAACGATACATTTAACTGGCTGACTGAACCTTCGAGTGGCGACTCCGTTTGTGGTTGTTGCACTACGGTTGTCTGTTTGCCGAACCCCCTCCACCCACCTCACCCCCCTGGTCGAGTGGCTGGCATCGAATTCACTAATTGCATAACAAAGTAACATTTGCATATTGCTCTACATATGTTGGTGGCGTCGGTGGATTCGGATTCCACCTTGTCGATAACTTCATTACAAAAAATTTCCATGCACGGGAGTGCAGAGAAAAACAACACTCGCATCGCCCTGAAGTGGATACACTGGGTACTGGGTACTGGCTCAGGTGGGCACTTGTGCCCATTTAGCGTTAAGTATTACTTGTAACTTTTTTGCCATGTGACTGACTGAGAGGTGCTCCTGTCGTCCTGTCGTCCCACCGTAATCCGCCTCCTTGCCACAAACCAGACAATGTTGCGATGTTCTCAGAAATCGTTGCCTACCTTTATGGGCTCAGGACATGCAATGGATGGATTTACTTTTCGGCTCATTACGCCGCAAATTATATATTATTCACAAGTTTCTATTCGTTTTTTCTTTGCCATGCAAAATTGCTTTATTTGCGGGGGAGAAAAGGTGACTAATCCTTATAGAGCATAGTTTTGCAGTCTTAATTTATCCGCTTTTTACCTGGTATTGTAATTTCATGTGCAACTATTTTTGCTGGCCCGTAAGTTATATATTATTAACGAAGTGCAATTACTTTTAAATAAATCTGCATTGTAATTAAAGTGTGACTCATTATACAACTTACAATGCGATTAGGGTTTTATAGGAATTTGTTGGCGCATATTTAATTTTATACATATTTTTAGGGGCTGTAAAAAGCCACAAGAACCACTAAGGTATTATAAAATGCAGGTTTGACAATTATTTATTCACTATAGAAGTCAAATGAGGTTGGAAATCAATTACAACAAGAAACAATAAGTACATATTTTTATATATTAATTTTTAGGGTAAATCACAGTTTTTAAAATATCATAATTAAGCCAAAAATGCATTAATTTCAAATCGGAAAGCATTTCCGTGCTATCTTTTAAAAGGTTAACAAATCTGCATACTCAATTTAAAATGTTTAAAAATTCAAATTTTTATCATTTTTTTATTTAATTTTAACGAAAAAAAATGATGGAAAAATTATCAAAATTTTTTTTCTTTCCTACTTGTCTAAATCGATTCGCCTGCTCATGCTGATCAAGAATATATATGAAATATAGGGTCGGAAATGACTCCTTCACTACTTTTAAAGCTTCTGACTGAAATTATAATACCCTGTAAGGGAAACCGAAATATGTATGGAAATTTGGTTAATCGATCAAATCAAAAATCCATCATAACTTGGTCAAAAAATCTTTAATTTTAGTTCGGAAAGCGGTTTTATGCTAGTTTTTATTAGGTTAACAAATCTCTTTACTCAATTTAAAATGTTTAAAAATTCAGATTTTTATCAATATTAAAAAATTTTAATCCCAGATAAAATTTGGAAAAATTATCAACATTTTTTTCTTTCTTAAATGTCTAGAAAGATTTTCCTGTTTGTGCTGATCAAGAATATATATGATTTATAGGGTCGGAAATAGGTCCTTCACTGTTTTGTAAGCTTTTAACTGAAATTATAATACCCTGCAGATGTCTTAAACTATTTTAAATCAATGTAAATTGTATTTTAAATATTGTCACATTTTGGACCCTTTTCAAAGGATTTTAAACTCCTTTAAACCCTCTAATTGATTAGAGTAATCATGGATATTTTTACTTAAGAATAAATTGTATCCTTCTTAAAAACTGTTATGCTTAAGGTCCATAAAGACCATGTAAACAGCTTTTAGGCCTCTTAAAAAAATTCCTTATGGAATAGTCAACTTTACCCCTTAGTTCCCCCTTAAAGTGAACTTCTCTTTACTGATTATAAAGCCATTTGTTGTTGCTAAATACTAGCGACTATTGAGACTAATCACGCTAATGCCCAAATCTGTCTCAAAACGCGGACGACAGATGGCGCTGGCGGGGACAGCAGGTGTGCGTGCGTGTGTTGTGTGTTGTGTGTGTGTGTGCTGCATGTTGCTGTGCTGTGCAGTGTGTGTTATCCAGATGCAGCAGCAGCAGCAGCAGCAGTTGCCTTCAATAATACGCCACGCCAAATGCCAAATAATTTATTTATTATATGTGCAGCTGACCAAAGCTGACTGCAACACACACACACACACATATAGGTAGGGGTAGGGGTACTGGGAGGTAGAGAGGTGCGGGGGTTTTTGGAGGCATTGCACGGAGGTATATGGCCAGAGTCCTGAGTGAGATTTCATTACAACTCATTTGACAGTCTTGGTGCACTCGACGCTGCCAAAATGTCATAGCTGAGTGGCATGCATCGAAAGGGGGACTGTGGGGGGGGGTTAGGAATAGGGAGTTACCTAGTTCCACCACGCCCACCCCCCGCCACCCACATAGACGGGGGTCTCCTCCCTTGGCCCACAGTTGGCGGATTAGCGGGCACGCATCGCGTATAGCTCCTACACCACAGCGCCATCTACAGTGGGACTTTGATAGCTCAGACACCTTGTAGTTGGTTTAATCTTTAAAAAATCTTTAAAAATATTTAAAAACGAATTTTAAAGATTGTAAATATAGAGAATTATTCTGCATATTCCTATTTTATAAATCCTTTAATCATTTCTTAATTGTATGCCCCACTGTATCCCATTTTGTGGGCCTAAACACGAAATTAAGCGAAATGAAGTTGACCACGCTTCGATTTTGGCATCAAAGCGAAACGTTCCCGCTTACAGCTTGACCTCGCCTCCCAGTTGCGGAACCACCACCACCACCCCCCTCAACCCATCCCTCTCCACCCCCTCACTCTCTCTCTTCCTGCTCCACTTGCTGCATGCATTGTTAATACAATTGGAGTCCAACGTCAATAACCAAGTGCCACGAATGGACCATTAGTTGAGTTGAGCTGCAACGCTCCGCCTGATGCGGGCACAGTCTATATGGAATATTATACACACATATAAACACACACACTCAGGGGGTGTGTGTAGTTTGTGCATCTGCATTTATGTATTCTATATATAATTATACGGCTTAGCGATTGCTTTGACTTGGCGGATTCCTTCAATGCCATCGAACAGCGAATTTAATCAAGTTGATAGATGGAAATACTAACATGAGTGGGTTGAAAGAAAAACTAATTTAAAGGCTTACCAAGTAACAAAACTAATATTTTTAAAAATTTAAGAGTTAAGAGGGATAGTTTAATTAATATTGATTACTCTTTAACAGAATTCTGTCAGTTGTCTTAAAGATTTGTTTAGAAAAGACTAAGTATAAGGTCTTAATTTTAATTAATTGATAGGAAAGTGTTAACTTTGGCAGGAATTAAACTGATTTCAAAGGTTAAGCTTGAAAACAGATACTTTTGTGGTTGAAATATAATTAAATTCTATTAAAACAAGGCTTTAAAATCATTCTTTATATGGTGTAAAGCTAAGAAATCGTGAAATCCTGAAATATAACCTCTTTTACCTAGAGTTTGTTTAAAATATTGAAGCAGTCTAGAAATACCCTTTCTCCTTCAAAAGGTCGATCCTGGTTTGATAAAATTTTATTAT